TGTGTGTGTGTGTGTGTGTGTGTGTGTGTGTGAGAGAGAGAGAGAGAGAGAGAGAGAGAGAGTGTGTGTGTGTGTGTGTGTGTGTTTGTGTGTGTGTGTGTATAGTGACCAATATGAAAAGAATTATTTAAGAACATTTAACAAGCATCTAAGTGTTGCACATATGAATGTTTTTCTGGAATGGTTTAAACAAATGTTTTTGGACATAGGATATGGGACTTTTTAATTTTAAGTTACATTACCAAACTGTTTCCCTCAAATGACTGTGCCCCTTTATATTCCTATCAGGAGTAAAGTAACATCATCTGATGTACAAAAGATACCTCCTTATTTTAGCCCTGCCCTTTATTTATCAATTTTCTCTTTCTGGGACTCCTATTGACTGCATGACCTTCTAAAAGTTCTATATTTCCCTTACCTTTCTTCCACATGTTCTTTTAGTTTTTTTCATCGTACATTCTGTGAGATTTCCTTGACTAGTACTTCTATTGATTTCTTCTAGTACTTCTATTGTTTTATTTTCCAATTTGATAATCTTGGGTTGATTTTTTTTTTTCAAATAAAAACCCAAAGTAGAGAAAATAGTATAATAAACCCACTCACTCCGCTTTAAGGGTAGTCAACTACTAATACTGACCTTGTGTATAACTCTGCACACTCTTCTAAACAACCCTCACATTATTTTGAAGCAAATTCCAGACATATTATTTCCAGACATATATATTTTACTATATATTAGTTTAGTATCTAAATCTAAAAAACAGAGCCTTTAAAAAAAAAAGTTAGTGGTGTTAAGCATATTCAAATTGCAAAGGAATAGATCTCCAGAACTTTTTCAACTCATGAAACTGAAACTATCCCATTAAACACTAATTCCCTATTTTCCTTGCTCCTAACCTCTGGCAGCCACCATTTTACTTTCTGTTTGTATGAGTTTGACTGCTTTAAATGTTACAAAGGAGTGAAATCATGGAATATTTTTGTATGTGACTGACTTGACTTCATTTAACATAATGTCCTCAAGGTTCATCCATGTTGTACTGTGTGGCAGAGCTTTCTTTTTTAAGACTGAATAGTTTTCCATTGTATGTATGTACATTTTTTTAATCAATTCTTCAGTTGGTGGAAATTTTGGTTGTTCATACTTCTTGGTTATTGAGAATAATGCTGCAGTGAATATGGGAATTCAGCTGTCTTTGAGGTTCTGCTTTGAATTATTTGGGATATATATACCAAGTGAGATTATTGAATCAAATAGGTATTTCTATTTTTAATTTTTTCAGGAACTTTCATACTATTTTCCAAAGCTACTATACCATTTTATATCCCTACCAAGGGTTCCAGTTTCTTCATATCCACACCAATACTTGATGTTTTATTTTGTTTTTATACTTATTATCCTAATGGGTATCTGATAGTATCTTGTGGGGTTTTTATTAGCTATTTTTTATTTGTTATATTCATACATGCACACAATAAAAGAGTATAATTTGATCAATTTAATTTCCCAGTACCTCCCCTTAATCTCCCCTCCTTCCCCCATTCACCTTCTTCCATTCTACTGGTCTCCCTTCTATTTTTTTTTCATTTCTTCTAATTAGTTATACATGACAGTAGAATGCATTTTGACACATTGTACACAAATGGAGGATATCTTGTAGTTTTGATTTGTATTTCTTTAATGATTAATGAAATTGAGCATCTTCTCATGTTTATTGGCCATTTCTTTATCTTCTTTGGAGAAATGTCTATTTAAGTCCTTTGTCTATTTTAAAATTATTTTTATTGTTGACATATGAGTTCTTTATATATTCTGGATATTAACTCCTTATCAGATATAGAATTTGAAACTATTTTCTCCTCTAGGTTTTATTTTCATTCCATTGATTGTGTCCTTTTATGCACAAAATGTTTTAAATGCTGTGTGTCCTATTTGTCTATTTTTGCTTTTGTTGCCTGTGATTTGGTGTTATTTAAAAAAATAATTGTCAGGTCTCATGTTGTGAAGCTTTTCCCTAGTAACCAAACTCTGTTCTGCTTGACACTAGTAGGACCACCCCTGTTCTTTGGGTTCCCTTTTACATAAAGTATCTTCTCCATTTTTTATTTTCAACATATGTGTATTCTCACATGTAAAGGGAGTCTCTTAGCCAGGTATGGTGGCACGCGCAGATTGCAAGTTGGAAGTCAGCCTCAACAATTTAACGAAGCCCTCAGCTATTTATCGAGACCCTGTCTCAAAATAAAAAACATTTTAAAAAGTGCTGAGGATGTGGCTCAGTGCACTCCTCTCCTCCCAGGTTCGATTCCCAATACATACATACATACATAAGTAAATAAATGAATAAGTAAAGTTTCCTTCAAACAGCATATAGTTGGATCTTTATTAACAATCTATTTATCCAATGTCTACTTTTGAGAAGGGAGTTTAATCCATTTACATTTAAAGCAATTACTGATAATGAATGACTATTGTCATTATTTTCTGTTTGTCTCATAGCTATTTGTCTTTTTTGTTACTGCCTACTTTGTGTTTCATGATTTTTGTAGTGACATACTTTGATTCCATTTTATTTCATTTTCCATATCTTCTATAAGTATTTTCTTTGTGGTTAACATGGGGAACATCTTACATAAAACATCTTAAAATTACAATAATTTGTAGAATTTAACTTTAAATCATATACAAAAATTCTACTCCTTTATATATCCACCCTTTGGTGAACTTTTCAGTTATTGTATTTTTCAACACCAGAATTTCTATTTTGTCCTTTTAAAATAATTTAGAAATTTCTATCTCTTTATTGATATTTTCATTTTGTTAGTACATCATTCTTTTGACTTTTGTTGTCTGTGTTCTATTTAGCTCATTGAGGTTCTCTATCATGATTATTTTGAAAATTTAAAGAAATTTTTTTTGTAGTTGTACATGGACAGTGTGCCTTTATTTTATTTGTTTATTTTTATGCAGTGCTAAGGATCTAACCCAGAGCCTCACACATGCTAGGTAAGCACTCTGCCACTGAGCTACAGCCCCAGCCCTATTTTGAATTCTTTATAGTTCTCTACATCTTTAGTGTTAGTTTCTGAAGACTTGTTTTATTCATTTGATTAGGCCATTTTTCTTTTTGTATGCTTTTGTGATCTTTTGTTAGAATTTGCACATTTGAAAAACAGCCATATCTTCTATTCTGTTGGATTGATTTCATAAAGGGAAAGATCTTCATCAGTCCGCCTGACTGCATATTCCCCAGGACCTCTCATATCTTTACTGGGAATGTATCTTTTTTGGGGCCAGTGTTTGTACTAGTCAAAAGAGGCTTGACCTTGTTTTCTCAGAAGTCATAATATCCTTCTCTCATGTCTTCACTACTGCAATCTCCCTGGATTAGTTCACATGGCATGCACCCTTGTCCTCAGCAGTCCCCAACCTAGCATCCAAACTACATGCTTATCCCTCTCAGTTCTCTGGGTTAGGCAAGACAGAAACCAGAATGTTGGTTTTTATGTTTCACTTTTCTCTTTCCCTCCTAACAGAGAAGCAGGAGTTGGGAGTTTTGTCCTGACTATTCCATGCTATGAGGGACACAGGGAAGGATTCTGGTAGGCAAGTGCAATACACTTTCCTATGTACCTTACTGTGATTCTTCTTGGCTTCATACCCATATGGGTGCAGCAACATCTTCACTGGTTTCTGAAATTCTCACAAAGGCAATGCTGTCCATATATTTTTGTTAAGTAAAAGTTTCTCCAGGGACAAACAAAGGCTGGGGTTTCCTATTTTGATATTGGGTTGATGTCATTCTAAGGACTTTTTTAAAACCTAACAAAATACCACCATCACACCTAAAAATAGAAATTTCATAAATATTATTAAGTATCAAGTAGTGTTCAAATTTTCTTGTTTTATTCGTTACTGCTTATTTCTTTGAATCAGGATCAGATTCATTGGTGTGTTTCTTAAATGTCTTTTAAACTGATAGTTCGCATTTTATCTAAGAAAGATATAAGTACAACTTGGACATGTGTGGCTCAGTGGTAAAGTGTCTTAGATTCACTCTCAATTACCTAACCCACCCCCCACTCTCAGAAAAAAAGATAATCCTTTGCAGAGTAGCATGAGACCGAAATGACCAGGCAAGCTGAAAATATGCAAAAGGATCTCAATAATTAATGGGAAGAGTTATGATAGTTCTATGACCCGTAAAATTTCTATCAAACATTAAAATGTCTTCTGCTGTCAGTTATAAATATTACTGATAAATGTTAATTATAAATGAAAAATAATAAAAAGTAAAACTAATATTTAATGTACTATCATCCCAAACATTAGTAACATTGAGAATTTAAATGTTCTGTTTCTTTGTTGAAAAAGTTTATCACAGTTTGAACAGTGCTTACTTTCTTTTTCACATCATATAATTTATAAGCATGTTTTTCTGTCTTGACAAATGTTTATAGTTCTTCAGAGTTTGAATCAGCTTCCAACATTTTATCATTTTTTGCTTTTGATGTCATGAACTATTTCTAGATTTTCATTAATATAAAGTTTTTTTTGATGATATCGTTTTCAGGACATCTTTATTCTTTTTGTCACAACTAAAATCATCCCTCATTATCCACGCAGAATTTGTGCTAAAACTCTCTACAGACACCAAAATCTGCAGGTGCTCAAATCCTTTATATGAAATGATATAGTATTTGCATTAACCTATACAAATCTTCCCAGTATACTCTTTAAGTCTTTTATTTACTTTTTTTCCCCCCAGTGCTGAGGATGGATCTCAGGGCTTCACACATGCTAAGCAAGTGCTCTATCACTTAACTATATTCCCACCTTCTTTCCATATACTTTAAATCATCTCTAGATCAGTTGTAATGCCTAATATAACAAAAATACTATATGAAGAATTGTTACACTGTATAGTTTACAGAATAATGGTAAGAAAAATTGGTACATATTTAGTACTTATTCAATCTTTTCTGAAAAATTTTATATTGCAGTTGGTTAAATTCATAGATGTGAACCTATGGCTATGTATAGCCAACTGTACTTTTCCTCATTCATGTTTTTTAAGTTTGCTTCCACAAACCCCCCTGTATGTCTAAAGTCTTTTGAATGTTGGAAGGGTTGACATTCCCAAAACTAACTCTTTCTTCTATAACTCCATTTATGTCTGATTTAAATTTCAGTTCTAGAATTATTACGCACTTCCTTGATGCATTTTCATGATTGTTGGTTGATTTCCTGTTCTGAAATTACCTGTGCATTTATCACTGGGAAACACAAGAGGCAACGCAACTACCTATAGCTGTCTTTGCTGTTCCTGCAAAAACCGAATAACAATGTGCAATGACCAATTACCAAACTTTGAAAGAAGTGGTATGATTAATTATTATGTGCATATTATTTACTTAGTGACTTAGGGACTAAATAGCTAACAATAAAGTTTATACTTTGTGCAATTACTTACAGTGAATAAGTCAAGATTACCAATCTTTGAACTGTGTTATTGGAGGACTTATATTCACCTAAACTGTCAGAACTGAAATTCATGCTTATCAGAACCTTGAAAAGTAAGGACTGTTTTCGTATCATCTCTAATTCTTTAGGAGCAATTGTCTGTTTTGGCCTCTTTGAAACTGCTAAAATCTCTATTTATCTGAGAATCTTTTATTCTAATCATAATTAAGAATTAAGGGTTTTTGTTTTGTTTTATTTTGTTTTGTTTTAATGGATACTAGTCCAGATTTTCCCTATCCTTATGCAGATAGACTTGATTCTCCTGTATGCTCTTATGCTGCTCCAGGAGGACATGGATGGACATGTGGTACACCTATAGGAAGCCAATTGCTATATTAGGGACACTTCACAACACTACCACTAAAATGAAGAGCAACAGTTGATAATAATAAATCATTGTATTATTGATTTATGTATTTACTGTACTTTTTGAAACTTTATCACAGGTATGTATGTATAGGAAAAAGCAGTATATATAGGATTTAGTACTATGTAAGATTTCAGGCACCCACTGTGAGTCCTGGAATATATTCCCCATGAATAAAGGAGGACTACCCTATATCTGAGGGGCTACAAACCTACTAAACGCAGGAGAATGTGCATGATTATCCAGGTTTAGCTGTTTTTCCTGAGTTCTTCCTTTACAAAGCCTTATAGACTCTGGATTTCTAGAAATCTATTGATAGATTCCAGAGACTTCACTTTGAAGTTGTAGGCAAATATTTACATGTTTATGTCTGATTTTTCTGGACAAAAGAGGGTGTGATAGGCTGGGATGTTACCCCTCTAACTCCTAAAAAAATGAGGTAGGATTCATGACCTTATAGAAGAGAACAAGAGCATTCTCTTGTCCTCTTTCTACCATGTGAAGATATACAAGAAAGACTTCAGTCTGCAATTAGGACAAGGGCATTTACCAGAACCTGATCTGCTGGCACCCTGTTCATAGACTCTCAGCCTCTAAAACTATAAGAAATAATTTTTTGTTGTTTCTAAGCCATTCATTCTTTTGTTTTGTTAGAGCATGCAGAACAGACTAAGATAGATATTTACATTTCTTTTTTGTTATTTTCCATCACAGTGTTGTTCTGCATATCTTTGTACATAGGACTCTGCACAATGTTTGGGAAATCCTCCCTCCCTCACTCCCTCTCCAAGTTGTTCCAGAACAACAGGTGAAAACTTCATTTTGTACTTTTTTACTTATTTCCTTAAAGATTTCCACTTGCAGTATATTGTTTATGGATCATCTGTATTTCTTTTTCTCAATAAAGTGTATGTTCATATTTATCTCAATAAGTATGATTATCAGGGCTGGGGATATAGCTCAGTTTGTAGAGTGCTTGCCTCACATGCACAAGTCCTGGGTTCAATCCCCAGCACCACATAAATAAATAAATAATAAAGTCAGATTATGTCTATAGAGTGTTAAGTGCTATAAGTGTGAGGGACCTAGAGAAACAAAGGGGACAGCTCCCATTTGCCAGTTGGTAAGTGATTTGATCCTAACCTTGAATAATTCTGGAAATATGATATAAAAGTTCCTTGCCAAAAGAGTAATGATGCATGAATACACAAAGTAAAGATGCACTTAAAACCAAAGTGATATTTCAGGACATACTAGGAGCACAGCAAATTGGTAAACAAAAAGTTCTAAACATGACTCCCACTTGAGTTCAGGATGTGCCTATCTAAAGAAATAATCATTGTAATTGCCATATTTCTATGTTTTTTAAAAATGGAATGCTCTGCTAAGTGCAGTGGCACAAGTCTGTAATCCTGGAGAAGTAGAAGAATTGCAAGTTTGAGGTCAACCTTAGCAAATTAGTAAGGCCGTAAGCAACTTAGCAAGACCCTGTCTCAAAAAAAAAAAAAAAAAAAATAGGGAATGTAGCTCAGTGGTAGAGTACCCAGGCTTCAATTCCCAGAGTGGGGAGAAAATGCTTTGTCCTCTAGCTATCACTATTTTTTTTTAATTTTTAATATTTATTTTTTAGTTTTTGACGAACACAACATCTTTGTTTGTATGTGGTGCTGAGGATCGAACCCGGGCCGCACGAATGCCAGGCAAATGCGCTACCGCTTGAGCCACATCCCCAGCCCTAGCTATCACTATTATCTAAAGAAAAATGATTCTATTTCCTAGTATAAACTGTTCAGACTTTCAGTTGGTTGTAATTTCTAACACAATCTGAAGATTTACCCCTGCAAGTGTTTGGTAGTCATTTTATTTCATTTTACATTTGACTTGAATTCTTTGAGAGTATATTAAACTTTTGGTTCCATGTGAGGAAGAAGGCTAAGGTTTGAAGGCAAGGTTTGGTAAATCATATGTTTTTCTGTAAATTTCAATGTGATTATGATAAAAATATGTTTTCATTTTAATTAGTAATTTTTTTAACTCAAAGCTAGTTATTTTACCTAACTTGGATTTTAGAATTTTCCAAGGGCTCATTAGTAATGCAAAATATAAGAAGGAATTAATTAGGTTGAGGGAGGTTGCCAAATGGCCGAACAGGAGAGAAACTAGCTCATAGATGAAGAGTGTGGCTTGTTAAAGGAACTGAGCGAAGTTAAGTGTAGATATATTCCTGATTGGGAGTTCATATGGGTGGAGAGATAAGAAGGGCCAGATCATGCGTCAGATTTACTCTATGCTAAAGGATATAGATTTTAGCTGGTTGCAGTGGCACATGCCTGTAATCCCAGCAGCTCAGGAGGTGAGGCAAGAGGATTGCAAGTTCTAAGCCAATCTCAGCAATTTAGCGAGGCCCTAAGAAACTCAGTGAGACCCTGTCTCTAAATAAAATATTTAAAAGGGCTGGAGATGTTGCTCAGTGGTTAAGCAACCCTGTATTCAATTCCTAGTACCCCCACATATAAATAGATAGATAGATTGATAGATTGATTGATTGATTGATTTTATCTTCAGATGAGGGAAGAATACAGAGGACTTTGCTTAGAGGTATAAAATAATCAGATAGACCATTAAGAATGAATTGGTGGGGAGGGAACATTCCAATGGAGGAGAGGGCATTGCAGGAGTCAGGGAAGACATGGAACAACTTGAACATGAACATCAGAATGGAGACAGCTCTATTACCATGAGAAGTTTTCAAAGGTAGAATCTACTATCTTTGGAAATGGGTTGAATCTGAGGAAGGATAAATAAAGAACAATGAAGTGTTTGAACATTTACAGAGACCACTGAAGAGAGTGTGGGGGCTGGATTGAATACATTTGAAGTGGCCATATGACGTCCACATAGAGATACCTGTTAGATAGAGAAAGTGGATTTAAAGGTTAAGAGAAATCTGAGATGGAGATGCAAATATAGCAATTGCTGTAGCACATAGTTGATAATGACAGTCTGAGGGATGGAGGAAAGGTTCAGATTGATGGTATCAAGTGAGATGAGAGGTTGTGAGGAGCCCTGGAGGATGCCAGTCCTGAGAATGAGGGAACCCATAAGTGTGATCAAGAAAAAAAACAGGACTATGGAATGAGGGAAGCCAAGGGAAGTGTTTCAAGAATGAGGAAGGTATCATTCACAGGACAAATAAAAATAAAAGAGCCCATTAAATTAAGTAAAAATGTATGTAAAGAGCAGGTAGCAGTGAGAGGTAGTCTGTAGAAGACCAAGTAAGAGGAAGGAATGGAGATTGCACACACAAAGCTTTGGGGAAGTTTGGTTGTAAAGGAGGTAAAAGAGCAAGAACTAGAGGACAGCAATGCATGGTGGAGAGGGGACTTTGGTATTTCCCAGATGAGCTTGTGGAAGGGAGGTGGAAAAGAGGCAAGGGGGAGCAAGAAGGTAGAAGGCAGAGGCAAGTCATGAATGAAGCTCCTGAGCAGGTGGGAGGGATGGAATCTGGACACAGGTTGAGAGTTGAATGTGGAGTGGAGCAGGAACCCTTTTTCCCTTCACTGTTGTAACTAAAAGGCAAAGAGGCAAGGACAAGGCTTGCTGGCAAGGCAGTTTACTTGCTGAGTGCCCAGAGTTCAGTAAACTCCCATAGGATGATTCCTTGTGAATAAGAGAAAGTATCACATGCAAAGTAAAAGGAATCTGGGGGATCTCAAGCTGGAAGAGAATAGAAAACGTTTGAAAAAGTTTGGGGAAGGCTAGAACTGATTAAAAAAAAAAACAGAAAAATTATTGAGGTAGTAAGACCTTGTTAGTGGCACTAACACAAGTCATTGTACTCTGTTTTTTTCCCTCAAGTTGCCCATGGTCATCAAGATTTAGACGCTGGGTAAACAAATTGCTTTAACTGATACAGAATCGAGGCTTATCAGAGCATAACAATTGTGGAAGATATGATAAGGAAGTGGAGGAAAAAATATATTTATTTGGGGGAGGGTACTGGGGATTTAACCTAGGGTTGCTTTACCACTGAGCTATATCTCCAGTCCTTTTTATTTTTTATTTTGAGACATGGTCTCACTAAATTGCTGATGACTTCCATAATTTGCTTGCCCAGGCTGACCTTGAACTTTCAATCCTCTGGTCTCAGCCTCCAAATCGCTGGGATTACAGGCATGCATCTCCACATCCACCTTTGGTAGTGGAGAATATTATCAAGAATAATAGGGGAGGGGAGGGGAGGGGGGATAGTAGAGGATAGGAAAGGCAGCAGAATACAACAGACACTAGTATGGCAAGATGTAAATCAATGGAAGTGTAACTGATGTGATTCTGCAATCTGTATACGGGTTAAAAATGGGAGTTCATAACCCACTTGAATCAAAGTGTGAAATATGATATATCAAGAACTATGTAATGTTTTGAACAACCAACAATAATAAATAAATAAATAAATAAAGAATAATATCAAGTGATGAGCCATGAAATCAATGAATAAAAGGAAGATGCATGTTGAAGACAGGTTCTGATCATTATATTCTGGAAGCATGAGAGATAGAGTGGTTGTTGATAATCTCATAAGGGCAGCACTCAAATTGTGATTTCATATATCTATAGCTACATGTATGTCTACCTGGCTTTCTTTCTATTTATCAACACTCAACATGGCATTAAAAGGTCACAAGACTTTGCAGTGAAAGATGTACATTCTAGTTCCTGTTCTTTCCTCAAGTTTATTAAGAAAATAATTTATCCTTTCTGGTACTTAGTTGCTTCTGTATAAAGATTTGAACTAAATGATATCAGTAGCCCTTTGACTTTGAAATTCTAGACTTCTGATTGTATTGAAGAGAAATCATTCTTCCATGGTCCTTAAATGAATGTACTAACTTCCTCTTTATTTTTTTCAGTACTGGGATTGAACCCAAGGTCTCAAGCTTGCTAGGCAAGCACTTCTACCTCTGAATTACATGCCAGCCCTGTTTTAAATTTTATTTCCAGACAGGGTATTGCTAAGTTGCCCAGACTGGACTTGAACTTATGATTCTTCTGTTCAGTTTCACCCAAATAGCTGGGATTATAGGCATGTGCTTCTGTGTATAGCTCTTTTTTTTTTTTTTTTTTTTTTTTTTTTTTTTTTTTTTTTTTTT